TGACATTTTGCCAAAAGTCAAACTTTCCAACTGCATTGGGCGAGCCATAGTTGAAAATTTCATGATGGCCTTGACCCCAGCTGTAGCCAAAAAAAGATTGGTTAGTTCATTTTCTCCTCCCATTTCTTTGTTGTCTCTTTATTGCTTAGTCCTTGTTTTAGCTGCAAATGCTCTTAGTCTTATTCATGCTTCCACAAAATTGGGATTCTCTAATGATAAAGTGTTTTCTGTCAGTGACACCATTGTTGTGAAGTCCTAAGCCCTTCATGTTACTACTCAATGCTCATGTGCAGTCCCTCCTCCTCCTCCTATCCCAGATATGTTAATTAGTTAATCTATATATCATTACATATTTAAATTTTGAATTTAGACTACTTGGCAAATCAGACAATCCTAATTTAATCAGAACAATGGAACACTTTGTTAAAAGCAGCAACTTTTTAAAAGTAAGAAAGAGATCAATTTATCAATATCAGAATTTTTTCATTCATAATTTTCGATTATTTTAAGAAAGAATAAAAGAATTTGTTTTGTTATCATACTAGAATTGTTCTAGACAATATATATCACATTAGTAAGCTTTATTATACACTTCATATCAGCAGAGTTCTTCTGAATACATATGTTCAGGACAGATCCATTAATGGGGGGGGGGGAATGGATCATACCACATTCTCCCCTGCCTTATTTTTGCAGAGGGAAGAAGTCCCTGAATTGAGCAGGCATCCTTTGTTGTTTGCAAGGCCATGGCATATTGCAAGACTCATGATGAGATTCTTCCTCTTTCTCTCTAGAACTGGATTTAATCCTGCTGCATTTTCATAAACTTCTACAAGTGGCTTGCTCATTCTCTGGAGTATCAGTAGATGGGTGGGCTCTCTTCTGTAAAAGCCGTTCATCACCACTTGAGGGACCACAGCTCAAGGATTCTTTGTAATCTTCATAAAGAGACCATGTTTTCTGTTTCTTTGTGATCATTCGAAGTGTCCTGAGGACAACCCTTGCTTAAGCTTGTGGGGTCCTGATTTATCCCCTGCTGGAGACAAGTCTCTTATTGAAACTGTCTTCCTGTTCATCAGGGTAACGAACACATGCACCCTGGGGGTTAGCATCTAGAAGTTCCATTTGATCCACCAGTGATTTGTTCTTATTCAGTCACATGTGTCTTTTTAGTAATACCCCCCCCCCCCGGTTTCAAGAGCCAAGATGGTAAGAACACTCTAGTGAAACTTCTTCTAGGAAATGGGAGGAATCATTCATGGGGTGTTGTATTAGTGGCAGTGCAAAGCAGCATGCTAATTGCATACAGGACCTCTGGGATTAGTTGTTCCTAATTCTCTACAGTTACCCTAGTTGAATAGTTTTCTAAAGCTATTGCCAGTTGAATAGTTTCCCAAATTATTCTATTTTATCTCTCACGATTACCTTGAGGGTTATATGGGGTCATTCTACTTACAGCTATTCTTTGCTCTTGTAGGAACCACCATACACATTTGGATATGGTCCTTTAAAATCCAATGTGATTCTTTCGTAGGGTTGAGTGGCTTTTATGACCTTGTTGGTGTTAGGACAGTAAAACTTAGGTTTATTTTCAGCGCAAGTCTTACATGATTTGGTGATTTCTTTCATATTCTCTACTGAGTAGGGAAGGTTTTTGATTTTCATCATATGTAACACCTGGGTGGCACAACTCTCTACATAGTTTCTTTAACTCTTCTTTGCAAACAGCCAAGCAACATACACAAGAGAGGATATCCACAGCTGCATTTTCTTTACTGGGTAGGTATGTTACATTGAACAAATAACACAAGAGTCCAATTCTCCACCTGACTATCTACTCATTTTTAATTTTGCTTATTGTTTTCAGGTTGAACATGAATGAGATTGATTTTTGGTCTGTAATTAGTTTAAAATGTCACCCAATCAAATAATGCCTTAATTTTCTCACTGATTCAACAATAGCATAAGCTTCTTTCTCTATTGCAGAATGCCTACATTCTGATTTAGACATGGTTCTGGAAAAAAGGTTAAGGATTTCCCTGACTGTCTTAAAGAGAAGGCTATGGCACATTTTAATGTGTCTGTCTCTACTACCAGAAGTAGTGTATAATAAAGTGTAGTAATGGCTGCTTTCACTATGCCCCTCTTTAACACATTAAATACTTTCGCTGCTATGGGAGATAACAGAAAGTTTGATACGGTTGTTAGAGGGTGGATTCAGTCTGAAAAAGATCAAATCCGGTGTGCATAGTGTGCGAACATTCCTAATGCACATTGCTGAGTGAGTAACTCTTTTGGGACAGGTAAGCTGAGTAATGGATTTAGACGTTCTGGATTGACTTTTATGTTGTTTTTACATATAATATACCCAAGTATAGCCTCATCTGGGTTCCTCTCCACCCATAAGCAGAGAGGCCAACAAGCAGAGACAGGCAGCAGACTGCCTCAGTCATTCAAGCTTTAATGAACTCTGCTGATATGCAGAGTTATCCTGAATATGTGTGTACAGGACAGATCCATTAATGGGGAAGATGGATTCTACCACAGTCATGAGGGTTTTGTTTTTTTTTAACAAAATTAAACATTGATTACATTTAAATGTTTTTATCCACTTTCCAGTATAATATATCACTTTTCAAACAACCTAACATATTTGATGACATATGAGACACCCATCAATTTACATTTAATGTTACAATATTATTAAGTTAAGCTAGGTACACATACTGGTAGACTACATTGACTGAGTAAACATTAGCCTATTTGATACCTCAACTTCACATACAAGACCTGAGAGATATTTTGTGGGTAATTTTTGTGGGGAAAAAATCAGGGTCTTATATGCCAGCAATTTTCTTACAAATTAGCGCATTACTGCATATTTTCAGTAAACTAATGAGAAGGTTTATTTCATCACTTTTAACATTTGTTTTCGAATTTAAGCCAGAATCTTTTTACATGGTTACATACCATGCTATAATTATGTACCTAAGATATTTTCATTTATAGCAACATAGGGTTTTCATCTGTTTGGAATCTTAAAACATTTATGATGCTCCACAAGAATTAAACAGAATAAAGCATACATTACAGAATAATGGCCACTAAAGTTATAATATTTTAAGAGCTGTTATCAGCAAGAGTTATGAAGATTTTATTAAAATGAGTACAGACATACAAATTTTTTTTTACAATTGTAAAATCAGATTGGAAATACTGAATATGATAGAACTCTTAATATAAGTATCAAACAAACATGTCACTTATAGTATTTTGAAATTATTAAATCAAACATTGTCAATTATAAGCATTTTTTTATTTACAAATATTTTTTATTAGTAGTTTTTCATCTTAGTTTCAGTTGCATTTTATTAAATCTACAATATGGCCACAAATCACCCACCACAAGCTTATATTTTCCTTTCAACCTACATTCTTTACTAATAACAGTCTGAATAGTTATAAGAAAAGACAATCAAAATACAAATCAAAGAAATACCTAGTCAAAAATTAATAAAAATAAGTAATAATTCATGAAATAATAACAATCAAGATGCTATTACTACTAATACTACAAGTGTATGCAAACAAACATTAAAGGAAAATAAAGTATAAAACTATCTTGATTAGATCAGAGATTCTGTAATGATTGACTTCTGTATTTCAAGTAATAGAACAGTTATTAAGGATAAGGCTTCTTTAAAAGGATTATGAGTTAATATCTCACTGAATGTTTATTCTTTATTTTTGAGCCATGCTGTCTACTAATGACATAGTATGATGATAATTGTGATAAAAAGCAAGTGAAATTAAGATGAAAGAAATACTTGACAAAAATTAATGACAGACAAGTTTTATCTAAAACATTTAAATATTGTAATAGTTATCTCCCTTGAACACATTGATTATCTGACAGATGCGATAAAAACCAATAGAAATTAAAATCAAAGAAATACGACTCAAAAATTAAAAAACAAGTTTGATCAAGTTATCTCCCTTGAACACATGATTTGAGAGTCGTGAAAAATTAATATCAACAGAAATTAAGATAAGTAGTAGTAAAATTTATTAAGAGCTACAAAGGAAATGGAATTGTGGAGAGCCATGATCATCAACGTTCTGACGAGACATGGCACACAGAAGAAGTAGTAAATAAAATAAAATAATAATGATTGTTTTTTAAATTAAATAAATTAAAAATAAATGCGTTGATGCTACACCAGATGTCTTCTGTTCTTGAGTGTTAACCTGTACATGTTTTATCTTGGTGAATTAAGATAGGCTACAGTAAATATCCTGTTCAGTACTACAGGTTTTTCCAGGCCATAACCAGTTGGCCATGTCCCCAAGGGGCTGACAAACTGTGCATTTCTATTCATGTGTAGGAATAGTGGGAAATGCCATGACCAAGAGTGGAGAGAATTTTTTTTTTTTTAGTCTGTAAGATGAGGCAACCAACTTGAGAAAACCCTCAATTGTAAACCAACTGTGTGTATTTCTAACTGGGTATCATCTGAAATGTTATACACTGCTTTTATCAAAATCTTTCACCCAATCACATGCATTTGACTGTGTTGCATGTGCCTGATATACTCTTATCAGATTGATTTGTTATTTTAGAAGGAGGATCCTGTTTATAATATCAATGCAGTGTTAAATCAATCTCTGACTTTGAAGAGTTACTGTCCACTATCATTGGTAAATGTTTATACTCCTGGATGATTGTAGGTCTTGTAAATACTTTTAAATGAAAGGGGTCAAAGTAGGGGTTTTTTGTAGGTGAAAGATGACTGTTCTTTTAGTTTGCCAGTCTCATTTCCAAAGTGATTTTGACTCCACAGTAAACTGAAAAACATTCTTTGGACAAACATGTAACCTCCAACTGGAACAGAACTAATCCAAATAAAACACTATTTACATTACTTATACAAATTACTATATATCTCATCTCAAAATTATATGAAAATAAGAAAAATCAAAAAAAAAAAATCAATTCTTACCTGCACTACATTCTTGAAAGAGACGTTCATTTCCAAATTATGTTTACAGAATGCCTAGAAAATAAAACAGTACAACATTTTTAAGAATTTCATAAATACTTTAAACAAATTTACTTAAAGATTTAAATAAGAAATATTATACACACAGAGTTCCTGTTGTCTGTGTTAACTGAATATAAACTTTTATTTGGCAAGAATTGTGTACAATTTTAGAAATCCTGTAACTGTCAAAAGCCAAAATAAAAGAGGGTGTTGCATTATACTTGAATGGAATATTTTGACAATATTGTTTACTTGTATCAAGGAAATAACCACTATGCCACATGTACAGAGGGTGGAACAAAAGTAAACGGAAAGTCAGTATTGCACAATACAATATTTAATTGGATTTTTTATTTCACATAACTTTTCATGATTATTTAAGTAGATTATGGTTTGTAATTTAAATTTTTCTGTCTTTTTTTAATTTCTTTTTACTATTTTTGTATGTGGATTGATGGTTATATGTATGAATGGCTAACTAAGATTTTCTTATTTCTGACTAGTCACTGATTTTTATAATAAATTAATAAAGCAGATATTATATCAAACCAGAAACCATCACCTTTATCTCTTCCTAAGAGGCTAAAGATAATCACATTCAGAATTTACAAAGGTTTCTAAAATCTTAAGATGATGCATTGTATCATCTAATTCTTTCACACCTTTCTTGTATAATAGAGATCACATATGCAAAAATAAAATATATTCATGCTTTTCAAACATGAAGGTTTATTATGTTGAATTATACATAATATTGTATTGCATACAAATATATATACAGTAAATATCTCAAGGCTTCATAAAGCAATAAAAAAAGCCTTGTGCCACATCTAAGCTATGCTTAGAAAATCACCATAAACCAACAAAAATCCAGTGAAAAATATTTTGTAATGAACATGAATTTTCCAAAAACTATTTTAGACAATATCACAAACTTTATGTAAAAGTAAAAAATATTTTTAAATGATCTTCTATTTTACTAATCAAGTGAATCATTGCTATAAACTATTCAATAACATATTTTTAAACATATTTTATGCAATCTCTTAAAGCTTAGAGCCTAGGGAGGAAAAAACAGTTGCAATATTTTGTCAAAAGATTATCTGGAACTAGGTGATTGAGGGGTAAGGCCAACTTTAGCACAAGGCCACATCTTTAGAACATTCTGCAAATACTGGGTTCATTCTCAGTAGTTTACAAGACAAACACTTCTCACACTTAACAAGCACAAATACTCCTAAGCTAGCATGAAAACAAGGCTTCATTCTAGGAGTATGCGATTACACCCACCTTGCCTATCAGAATGCCCACTAAGTGTCACTGTATTCAGGACTATAAAAGCAAGGAACATAAAACCCTCTCTCCCACTTTTTGCTCTAGAATGCAGCAGGCATAGGATGCATCTTGTTAACTCCAGGGAAATTTCTTTCCCAGGACAGCCAACTGCTAAACTTCAAACAGAGTCATGTCACACATCACAGATACCTTTTCTAACAACAAAACGTATAAATATTTTTTTTGCCTTTTTACCTATCTGTATGCATACATGTTTATTTTCTCTCTTCTTGAATTGTATTATTCTCCTCCATGTATTGAATTTGTTTCTTTTGAAAATGTTGAATTCATTTCCTTTAAATTTTTTAATCTCAACCACAGGAAGTCATAACTTATCCTGTTACAAACTGGTGACCAACAGCAACCTCTTCCAATACAAATTGTAGCACCTATTTGCTACAAGCACACCATGATGAAAAAAATAGAAACAAAACTCAATCATAATAACTTGTGACATTGCTCTTTGTTTTAAATCATAAAACAACAAAGCTTCATTAATTACACGTAGACTATTGTCCCAATTTTGTTGTTGTTATTACATTTTATCCATTGTACCCTCCAGCTATCATCAACTGTTGGTCTGACTAACCTTCAGGGAATTTCAAACTGAACTCTACATGTGGGACAATTCTGAATGGAGAACTTATAGCCTTACACCTAACCTGCCTGGTAATGAGTCACTGAATAAGGCTGTTGATTTTGAAGCCTTGTTGTCACTTCTCTTTATTTATTAATGGCTCCCATATTGTACCTATTTCTATTCTAGGCCTACTAAGGAGGTAATCATAGGCATCTAACTCCCCAGAGTTCCTCCCTGACCAGTATTTTTACTTTATTTCACAGGGTTTCCCTCCATACATGATCAGTGATTCTTAATTTCAGCAAAGATTTATTTCATAAAAATAAAATTGAACATGCAAAACATCAGTATTTTATTTCTTTGTTATATGCAACAATTATGTTTAGCTGTTTTCCTGTCAGTGCTGTCAATATTGGAAAGTGAGCTTATATTAAAGGAAGAAATTCAACTTACCTGCAATCTGTTGTTTGTAAACCCATAAAAATAAGGAGCTGAGAATAAATAGAGAGAATCTTCAGGCGGCATTGTTACATCTCCATAATAAATATAGCGCATCAGACTGTGGAAAGCTTGCTGAGAAGGCACCATTTCCCCGATGGCAATCTACAAAATAAATATAAAAACATGTAGAGTTACATTTATGTCCTTCTGTATGGCTTAGACATTTTGATAAGTAAAACAATATATCAGCAAGAATCTGATGCAATGATCCTCACTTTGTTGCATGATTATGATACCTGTAAGTTACAAGTAGTCCTGCATTTACATCACCTGTGAGTAACAGCAGTTTTTACATGCCACTGATGTCTGTCTGAAATATACAGATTCCTGATATACTCTAGCCTAAGAAAAAATAGTGCTCTTGTCCCCAGAGTGATTCTGGTTCTAATAAGCATTTGGTGGTCAAACAGAGTTAAATCTTGTCCATAATCAATAACTGCCACAGCTACATTACCACCTTACCTATTATGTCACACATACATCATCCAGCTGAGTTCATTTCTACAAGTAGAGGAACGTAAAGCATTATCCAGTACACAGCTATCTCTAATTTGGGACAGTGCAGTTTATTCGTAGTATGTAACATAATCTTGTCCAAAGTAATCCTGACTTTCACTATCTTTATCACCATCCACAGATTGTCTTAAATTATTATCTGGTTTACTCTTAGAAGAAGATAGACAGCAAAATATCTTGTCAGCAGCTTACAAGAAATGTCTTTGTCCTAGAGTGGACAAAGACATTTCTTGTAAGCTACTCTCAAACTGCTAATAGGAAGTTTACATTCTACCATAAAATTTACACTTAGGAAATATATTTTTATATTTTCAATTATTCAAATATCAACTTGATAAAAACAGTTATTTTCTATGGTAGCTGCTCATTATTAATTACTTTTTGAATTCAATGTTTAGTGCTTGCTATACATCAACAAGTAAATGAGTCATAATCAACAAGCATTTTATTATCTTTGCATTCTAACAGGATTCCTTTATATCAACAAATATAATAAACAAAAATGTCCTTTATTTGAATTTTGTGTGCCAGCTGCCATTTTTCATCTATTGTAACTAAGAGGCTAACATCAAAAAATGAATAATGTTAGTAGTTTTAATCAGCAATCAACAAATGCAAATCACTTGACCCTTTATGGTTCTAAAGGAATAAGAAAATAATAGACAGATTTTTAGCAGGCAAAATATTTAAGACATCAGTTTTATTCTGCTTGATATCTGTAAAATGGCAGATAGAGAAAAACAGGACAGAGTTTGTACTGATTTCTCTTGAAAAACATGAACAGTGAGAAGAAGGGTAGATGAAAATATTTTAAAAAGTCCTGCCATCACAGAATTGACTTTATAGGTTGGCAGCTAAAGGATCCATGTTCAGAATTTGTATGCAATATATTGTAAATATTCAGAGAAATGAAAGAAAAATCAAAACAAATGTAACATGAAAGCAGGAAAGACAAAAATAAATTCTTTTAAAGTAATTCCTGTGCTTTTGTCAATGTCACCTTCAACTGACCACATATTTCCAGTCAGACACTAAAACCACACCACCAACATGACAGGTGATTGTATGACAAGACACACTTTGATCAGAAAATTAGGTTAATTGTTATAGTAAGAAAAATTCAATTAATCTAGTCAATGTCATTTTGCTTTGTATAATAAAGTGTAAATTAACTACAAATGAACAGAAAATAGCTTGTCTATTTTGAGTTGCAGTTTCTTGAAAAGTACAACATTGAAAATTCTATTAACACTATTATAATGAATAAAATTATTTTTAAAAATTAGATTTTCTATATATAATTACAAATTTAAATGCCCCCTGTAAATAATTTCAATGATTAAAAATACATAAGAAAAAGCAGAAAGATATTTCTTACTTTCACTGTGTTATCTTCTGGCATGAATGATCGAAACATAGCTTCAAAATAACTGCTCCTGGCTGCCAAAATTGACTTGTGTGCTGGGATTGGAGCACCATCCAACATCAGGGTTATATCACAGAATTCATGGCCAACTACTTTCAAAAACGTTTCCATGTCTTTTTCCAATGTATTTGCTGGGGAGAGAAAAATTCTTTTATTAGGTTGGTGCAAAAGGTTCCAGTGCCATATTTTCAACAATGTTAGAGAAATCTTAGAAGTGTCTTTGAAATTTATTTTGCCTGTGCAATCAAGTTAACCACTGTCAAGTGCAAACAAAAGCCTTAGTGGGAAAAAAAAGTTGAGGAAAATGGGTTCCATATGAAGAAAAAGAAACATTCTTCATTTAAACATTTGTCAATTAGACATGACACTGAAAATGAAAAATAGATTTATGAAAATACAAAAAAAGAAAATTGTAGGTAGATGCCAGAGAGAATTCAATATCTCAACCTTTATATATATATATATATATATATATATATATATAAATAATTATTTTTTATAAAAAATTATAACATAAGTATGTTATAAAATCACTACAAAAATAGCCATTTTGTTTCAACACACTCTGTGTCTTATCAAGTGATGATGTTGAAAAGAAAATAAATGGTTTTAAAAGTTTCAGATTAATTAACGATCCTACACTAGGGGAAACATTGTTACAAAAGCTAGAATAACCAATCAAAAACGAAGTATAGAAAGATTCAAAAAAAGCTTGACAACGAAATCCTGCTATAATAGCTATTCAGATCTTTAAATACGTGTAATATTAAAAATAATTTATACTAACTAATAATTATAAAATTATATGATAAAATTTAATATTAAAATTAAAAACTGGCAATTTTTAAAATCCAAATTTAATCACTATTAAGTTTAAAAACTACAAAATTATTGAGAAAAGAAAAAATATATATGTTTATTCAATTCATTTCTTCATTGAAATTACGTTCGACAAGACAAGACGCTACAATACATCCGGTCATTTGACAATACATGTATATATATATTTTTTCTTTTTCCCTTTCTTTTCCGTTTTTATTTTAAAGTTTGTGAATGTGGTCTTAAACTCACGCGTAAAAACAACAAAAACACAATCAGATTATAATACATAAGCACCCAGACATAATTAGATACACACACACACACACACACAAACATACACACACACTAAAAAAAAATATATATATATATATATCAGTGGCGACTCTAGGTCATCAATGTTTGTCAGGCTCATTACAATTTTTAACAAAATATACTATTGGTATAACTTAGATGTTAAAATAATTCCTTTACTCTAACTAAAATATATAATTTTCAAAAATCTCTAGCCAGATATGATTTTTTTGAAAAAATAACATGCGTATCTATCTCAAGTGTGTGTTTGTATATATGTCTATGCATTAGTGTGTTTATGTATCTCTCTGTCTGTGAATTTTTAGTTTATGATCAGTACTGCTGACTGCTATCATATTTCCTCAATACTACCCCAGTCACACTCCTCACCCCAACCCTCTAGTCAACTAGTTAAGGCTGCCACTTTCTTTGATTTTAGCCAAACTGAAGTCGGGATAAATTTAATTTGCTCTTTCTCAAAAGATACATTCTACTAAAAACCTTATACTGTATGGAATAAATTATTTAAAATGGACATTTGAAAACAATAAGTTGAAATAAAAATATGTTCTTTGAAGAACAGGGCATACAAGTCATTAGAGATTTTTAAAAGATTATTTATAAAATTAAAGCAAGAAACACATTGCCTATTGAGTATGTCTCCAACTTGAAAGTGGGGGGGGGGTCAGATCTATGCAGTCTGTCTAACCATGTTAATTTTATTTCATTCTTTTTTTACTTTCTTTCTTTGTTTCTTTTTCTTTCTTTCTTTTTTATTATGAACAATATCAATGAAATTTCAATCAATATTTTGAGGTACAAGACTAAAACAATTCATTTTGAATCCAGCTGAAGTTAAGAATGAAAACAATGCACTACAAAACATTTTTGTTGCTTTGAAATAGATATACTTGAATGTTGACTAACTTGGGCTAAGCCCAACAAGCCCAACCCCCTGTAGTTGCCATTTATATATATATATATATATATATATATATATATATATATATATATATATATATATATATATACCCAAGTATATAATTGGTATATACGGAATGAATTCCAATAACCAACAATTACTATTCTTAAAAGAGTGCTCAATACAAAGTAGAGCAGATATAATTATTTTTATAAAAAAATTATAACATAAGTATGTTATAAAATCACTACAAAAATAGCCATTTTGTTTCAACAACTTGATAAGACACAGAGTGTGTTGAAACAAAATGGCTATTTTTGTAGTGATTTTATAACATACTTATGTTATAATTTTTTTTTATAAAAAATAATTATATATATATATATATATATACATACATACATATATAGATATAAAGATGGAAAGGGAAAGGAAAGTACTACAATTGTTGGTTGAAATGTTTTCCATTTAATAGCTGGCTACTCATAGCCAAGCATGCCTACATGCTATAGTGGCTTTTTTTGCAGATGCCTACTCAGGCATATTTGTGTTTGTTCAACACACACAGAGCCCATCTGTGGTTTATACTGCAACTATGTTGAGTGGGACCTAGTTATATTCTGTGAGAGAGAGAGTGCATCATCTGGCACAATCAACAGACTGAACAAGGCCATTACACTCAAACTCAAATTTTCCAATTATTAAAATTCAAAATATCAAAAAGACAATCTTGATCAAGACATGAAAACACTGTATTTCTGCTAACAATGACAACAGTTCTTTTACAAAAATGGAATTTAATAAAAAATGACAAATCCATTCTAGGCAAAAATAATTTTTCTGGTTTCTGTTTAAGAATTTAATGTCAAAACTTTCTTTGAGATAAACTTACAGTTATTAGGATCAGGGTGTGGATCAGGCAAAGTTCTAAACTGGGGTTGATGCTTTCGACGGATAATTTCTACCATCAGGGGTTGATCTATCGTTTCAAATTCCTTGCTCATAATAATCTGACTGTAATTGCTTTCTTTTACTATAAATTTTAAGCAGTATTCCTGAAAAAAAAGTTTTCAGAAGAAACACATTTAAATTTGTTTACATAAAATTATGTAGATACATCAATAAGTCTACAGCCTAATGATAAAAAAGCATTTATTTTACATAACCATCTCCTTCCTTGTTAAAATACTTCATGCAGTTATGAATATTAATCATATAAACTGAAAACTCAACAGTAAAAATTACAGATCAAAAGTCAGTTAATGCCAAGCTACAGATTCTTGTATATTGTTACTATATTTATGTGCAGCATAAGAAATTTTGTCTCGGAGCCAAAAACTTAAGTGTGTGCATGTATGTCTGTATGAAGGAGAATCAGATTAAACATGTGCAAGATTTTAACAATTTTGTTTACTTGTATCAATGAGTAATTGTTATGTACAGTTGTCCAACTTTAAATCAGTTCTTCACATAAATGACCAACTTGTGTATAAAAAAGATTTTGCTCAGCTAGAATGATCTGCAATGTTAATTTATGTCCCTAGCAGAAATCTAGGTGTTTAAATATCTGACTCCATTATATATCTTTGCACAAACATTGTGTGAAACACATTAAAATTGATCTCACTTTCATATACGGAGAAATTTCAGCCTCTGTTCATGTTAACCTTTTCTTGTAGTTAATGAAAGCAATGTGTGAAAAATAGAAAATGAAAAAAAACAGAGTCGATACATTTAATAAATTAGCAACATTAAATGAACACAAGTTGAATACAGGAAAAAGAATATAATAAAAAAAGTGTCATCATGTAAAGGTTGTTAAGCATGGTAGAAAAAAAGTTCTGTTAGAGCTGGTTCATGTGGTGTTGGCTGGAGTTGATTCACATTTCATAGCCTCATGAATTAATTTGGCAGTCGGAAAAGTTCTGTTTTTCTTGCCTCTTATCCAATGGTTCTCAGGGCTCATTTTTGGAAGATACAGGAGCCATGATGAACAAATAGAAAACTTTTGCATTTTTTTTTAATGTTTTATTTTTCAGTCTTCCTTTGGTCTACATCAAGAGATGTTTTTCAGTTGGTTGCTATCTGTAGAGGCAAATAGTGCCTATTCAAGCTATACACTTACTATGAACAACCATTCCATGTAAGCTTGGTAGATACTTTTTTATGACAGGAAGCCTCATCTTTATCCTCTCTCTTAAGCATCCAAAGATATCTAAATGTTTGCTTCATACAGGCTTTTAAAATTTTTAACAATATTATATTGTGCAAAATGAAAAATTATTTCACACAGCAAATGCAATGTCAATTGTTATCTACAGTCCTCTTAATTCTTGTCCTTTTATTGCTTTCTCTCCTCAAGAGTGTTTTTTTCTCATATTTTCTAATTCAGTAACCCCTTGCATCTTAGTGGCTTTATTGCCTTGCTTAGCATGAAATGATTTTTTAAAAAGTAGTAAAGTAGGGCTCAGATTATACACAAAAATATATCCATTTGCTCTTTTTTTTTTTTACAAAAATAATACAGAAGTTGCAGTGTTCACAAATACAACAAACTAAAAATCCTCTGAGAAAAACATTAAGAATTGAATTCCTTATTTATGTTTTATAATAAAAAAAAAACTATATTTGGTATTTAAAGATACAATGAATTAGGAACTGATTGGGAAGCCATATTTGTTAGTAGGAAAAACATTCAAATACAGCAGATTAGTGTATTATTTTGATAAATTGTAGTTAATCAAAGAATGAACATTAGAAAACAAGATTATCAACTATAAAGAGAAAATAAAAATTATTTCTCATCAACTTCTTTATCTTGATAAAAACAGCAATTTCACATCACCAATAGAAGTTTATATAATTTGTATATTATTTGCTTGTGCATCTTGAGCTCTTTTTAATGAAACATATGGTGTTAATAAACACCATATCTAACCTAACCTAACAAACCTATCTTGTTGCACTAAATCCAGCACTTTTTAAAGTTTTTGTTTTTTTAAATCTTCTTCTTAATTTTTATGATATATGCACAAACAGTGCCCCATCTTTCAAGTTTGTATTCTTTTCAGAGATGACAAGTTTCTTAAAAAATATCAAATCAAAAAAACATATTCTGATTTTAAATATAAACCATTAAGAATTTAAAAATGTATGAATTATCATGATGTAATAGGGCAGATCAATAAGTCTAAAGACCGACACATAGTTATTAGCTGAGTTTTGAGCTGAAATTTTCAATGTATTATGTTCAGTATATTTGCCATTAATTAAGCGCATTGTCAAAGAAGGTAATAAGGCTAAATAATAAATATTTGTATAAAATAAATACTTTTTTCTTCATTAGGTAATGGACTTGTATCTGATGTACCTATGCACATCAGTTTTAAATAATTTAATCATAAAAAGAGATTTAAAAAGAGGGAAAGAATAAAAAAAAGTTTCCATTACCTTAATGAAATCAAGTTTAAGTTTAGCTGTATTCTGTAAAGCAACTAGAACATTCTTGTGTCCAATACAAGCCTCAAGATAATTAATACAGAGTTGTTCAAGCCGGGTCATATTAAACTGAAAAAAAGGGGGAAAAAATGAAAAATGAACTAAAATTAGAATTAAGTGAAACAATATCTTTAGCTCTGAAGGAATTTTAAATAATTGTTTTTTCAATATACATATATACATAAGATATGGTTATTTCATATTTACTCTTAACAGTATAAGAAAAAAAAAATCACAAGTGAAAAATTAGAATTCTATTAATAACAATATTATTTATATATATATATATATATATATATATATATATATATATATATATATATATATATATATATAAAGTCGAGGTGCAGTTCAATTTACATTACATGAATCATTCATACAAAAACAGATATAGAAGTTAATGATTTAAATTGTGAAAATACATCTTCATGAAACAATTTTAATAAAAGTACACTAACCCTGAACCTGTATATGAATGATATGATCCCTGTTTATAAATTCCAGTTGCATAAGGTCTTTTTTAGTTTTTTACAAGCTTTTGTCTGTTCCTACAGACATCTTCAGGTATGGAAATAGATTTGTTTTTGTTTTTTTACTTCTCGGTAATAACAGGACAATGAAAATATAGATGTAATCCGAAAAAATGTTTTTAGAAATGTGTTATTGTTAATTGTAAGAAATTTTATTGGAGTGTGCGGTTGCAACGCTGAGGTTGAATTTTTAAATTTTAAGATTGTGCGTTTTTGTACTAATATGGTAATAGGAGAATTCTTTTGTACTGGTAGGTTTTTCAGTCAATGTGGCATTTAAATTTAGTTCATGCCACTAGTTTTTTTTTTAAATTGCTAAAAATCACTGATTTTAGCAATCCATCATCACAATTCACTTTATTAAAAAATCTTTAAAAATTAAAATATACTTTTTGAAACTTTATTTGAGTAATGTCAGCTGATATGAAGTTTAATTAATCTGATTTGAAGCAAACATTACTTACTTTTAGTTTAAAATGTCACAGAAATGCATTTTTAACACAGAGATAGAGTTTATTTAAGGTATTGAAAGCTTTATTGACAGCCTGACAACTTTATTGACAACCAGAAATTTAACTAATTTTTTCTACAGGGGACATATCTATAAAAATTACTTGATGAATATAATGCGAGTCCCATTTTTTATAATTTTTAACTACCCATTAATCTTAAAAATTTAGTAAAATATTCTCCATAATCTAATTTTTTTTTAAATTTTAGAGCCTTTGGCTTTAAATTTACTATAGTTATCACTCTTGTTTTTGGATAATGTCATGTATAGATGTCCATATTTACAAAAATCGGCATGCTTATACACATAAAAAAATTAAAATTCCTTTTTAAAATACTAGAGGTCACTGAATTGTAGTAAGCTTTTCCATTTATTTATTAATATAGTTTTTACTTAATAACAATTTCAGATAACCACTACAAATTAATACAGAATTTTAAAAGATTTAAAACTTTATAAATTATTCTAATTAAAATTTAAAAAAAAAAGGTGAAAACAATTCTTGTAAAAATTCATTATTTATCAAAAAAAAATTTTTCCTTAATACAATAGTATCCATAATATATCTTATTTATAAAGTCAATTAAAAGCTTTTCTAATTAAATACTGTCTTATTTTTATTGCATTTTTTATTTTACAATCCCAAGCAGATTTTCAGTAACTGGGGGTCTTGTTTTACAAACAAAAATTAATGATTTAAGTTCCCCAAGGAGTTCTGCTTTTAACTAATATAAACATTAAGCCATTCAAAAATGAATTTTTCAAAATGTCATAAATGAAATAAATTGGGGTGGGAGGGGATAACATATATAAAAAAAATGTTTTATCATGACTTTCTAAAAAAAAACATTTCTAAAATTAATTAAATTTAATTAAACTTTAACAATTATTTGATTTTTGCAAGAATTTTCAAATCAATGTGTTTTTCACTGTAAAAAACCACTAAATTTTTCACCTGCTGACATAAGAACAATTTTTAACCAAAATTTTGAATATTCTAAAAAGGATCAAAAAATATAATTTAATAATAAAAAACTCTTTTGATCTTTCCTCTTAATAATAACAAAGATTTTGATGATAAAGCTTTGTTTTTATTAAGTTTGCAGTATTTTTTCACACAACAATTTATGAAATGCATTATCTATACATAGAAATAAATTCAACCATGACTTTGCTCTAAAGAATGCCAGTTATTAAAAGAGAAAGTAACTCACTTAGAAGGAAAATTCTTGAAAGTGCTGCTATTGAATCTTATCAAAATATAAATCTGCACCTCAGATTTTTTCCAATATCTCCATTCCTAAAAGAATTACTACTTTGCCAAGACAAAATACATGACGACAAAAATGTTAAAAAATGAAAAGAAAATGCTTAAACCCATAACCTCAAGTTATTCAAAATATATAGCATATAAATTAATGTAAATACTAATTTGCATAAAAAATAAATTTTCTGAAACATCACTTACTCACTTTCATTTATTAGACATTGAATTCTATCACTTTGTTCACCCATAGCTTACCTGACATTTCAGCTAACCAGATGAATATTTAAGAGTGTTCCTAAACTCAAAAACCAATAAAACTTTTGCTCTTGTATATTAATACTTGTTGCAAAATAATATCCATTGGCTAAGATAGATTTTCCTTTTGTCTTTATTCATATTATCCTTTAAAAGTATACTCTGAAATTTTTACACACATTATATATATATATATATATATATATGCTAAGAAAGCTATAAAGATATAAGGTATTTTTACTAATTCAAATGTTATTTTCTGGATACCCATGTTGAACCATGAATAAATGGTTTCATGCCTTTCCGAAAGGCAATAGTACAAAGTGAACACAAAAGATGAGGACAGATCTTGAACTTAGCTCACCAATTCTACTTTCAGATATTAGCTTATACCAACATCAAAAGCTGTTAAAATGTTTCAAAAGGTACATATCAAAAGAAGGAAGTCCTTTTACCTGTACAGAAAGCCGATACACATCCATCATAAGGAGAATAACTTCATTACTGCTTGGCTCTTGACCTACAAATCAAAGTTACTTTGGTTGATTTCAATTCTCAAAATGTTTGCACAATTAATTTCGCTGACATGAAATAAATTACAAATAAAACCAAAAACCACAGAATCTCTACAATCCCAACATCTTGTAACAAACCTAAAAAAACGATTGGTCAGAAAATACATTTTTTTCCTCCACTCATTTTTCTTGCTGCAAGCATTTATCTCAAGTATGTGCAAATTTAAAGCTTACAACTATGTCTGCACCCTACATCATTGACAGCCATGATAAACATATAAACAGCGCAGAAATTTTCAGTTCAGGAGGGAAAAATCTGCCAGCTACTGAACTTCATGTTGGCAGATGAAAGAAAAACAGTTACTCAACCCTTTTTTCCACTCCTTCAATGATCACTGCCAAAGAACAAACTCACTGATTCACAATATCACTAAGGTAACCAGGTCAAGAACTGGAAACACTACATATTTGCGATACCAGTTAAGTACTGTTTCACTGAGACTTTTCTTTCTACTTACTATCTCACAAATGTAATTAAGGAAAAGACATTTCAAACTCTTCACCATGTGCACAACTGTGAAAACCACTTTTACTTATATACTCGAACACTAATACCATAAACAACTGAATCACACACAGTCGATACATACTGTTGTTTTTTAATAAATGTTATTTTGGATTTAGTTAAACTGAGTTTTGTTTTTGTTCCGAATTGTTGCTTGTGAATGATAAATTTTGTATGTTTGAGGCTTCAGTACTGAGAAGGCATTGCAAACTCTCAACAATCTATTCTATAACAATGACCAATAAAGATTAAAAGCAACTGAAAGTTTAAACTGGTGCGTTATACTTTTCCTCACCAGTGCCAGTGGTCATAAAAATGATGATTTTTCAAAATAAGCAGGTTTTCTTTACATAGAAGTTGAAATTTTCCATCTGATTTAAATTTGGATGAGAACTGAATAGAATGGTAAAATAGGAGTACATATGGTCATCTATCATTCGGTTCAAATGCTTCCTTGGTCATGTATAGAGGTTTATCCCTTCTTTTCAGTTTAGGATTGTGTTTCTTCTTCCTTCTCTATAGAACAAGATTTACATTAAGCATATGAAAGCTAGATTTCTTTCTTTTTTTATTTAAGTTTTTTTTTTACTTTTTCATTTTATTTTATTAATTCCATAAACAATATTGTTAAAGTAAAAAAAAATCAAGCATTCATATGCTTAGCATAAATCATGTTCTGCCATGATAGTATAGATTTAGTTGAAATAAAATTCATTTATCTAAGGATGCTGTTTGTTGAAACATGCCAGCATAAAAGATTTTCCAAATTATATATTTATCAATCTTTCAACTGCAAATTCTCCCATCACCTCATTATTTGACTTTAAGCTATGCTTACATATACTTACTTAATATTGAATAACCTCCTAAAATGCTGCTTGGTGGCTGATGTAATTGCATATCTCCTACCAGTGTCAGTGTTGTATGATAACTACAGCTATGCTAGAGAAAAGCAGTGATCATTTTTTATATACCTAGTCCTTTTGATATATAAATCATGGGTCTCCATAGCTTCCTGCCTGTTGCTGCTCTTAGTTATTTTTGGCTTTTATCATCAATCTTTTTCCTTGTTCTCCCATCCATTCACACAAGCTTCTTAAGTAGGTTACTTGCTGTTTCCTCCTGTTTCTCTTGCCTTTAATATGTCCTGTGAGTGTTAAATTCTCTAGTCCCTCTTTCCTCATTACATATCTTGGAAACTTCAGTTTGTCTCTTTGACTGTAACTAAGTTTCTTTCTTCCCATTTTCCTTAAGACATCCTCATTGTTCACATGTTCTGTCTATGATATTCTCAGCATCTGTTGGTAGAAGCACATCTGCTACCTCAAAGTCTTGTTATAAAATAAAATAAGACATATCTCGGCTGATTTACAGGCAAATACTCAAGAGCGAGAACCGGATGTGAACGGGACAAAGCCCCGTCACAAAATGACCATTATCTTTCTTTACAAATGTTCCTGACACACGTGTTCTGGTCAAAAAATAAAATAATATTTAAAGTGCTCTATTTAAAAATGCTTCCCTCCTAATTATACTCGCTTCATTTCTCGAGCCTGTTAAGCCATAAAAAAACGCTATAAAAGGGGTCACACGGAAGTTCAACAGGCAGTCCACAGGTGGCCGCAAAACAGACCGTCACAGTCAGGCCGAGCGATCAGCAGCAGGAGAGCATCAACCACCGTCAACATGTGTGAACTACTATGAGAGACTGACCTAGATCCGAAGCCGGCTTATGAACTTTACCACAAGGTAGCTGTCCCAAACCCACATGTTCCTGTTGAAATAAACTACGTAAATCTATTTCTGCTTTTGTCATATTTCTTTCTTGCAACCATACGCTTGTCTATAACAGTCTCTTCATCTGTAAGGAAATTGTCCAGCATTCAATGACATAGAAGATTAGAAATTACCTAGTAGTTAAGCAATCATTTCCTTTTGTTTGAAATTTTTCTGTCTTAATAGATTTTGATTAGTTTTTGGTATACATCTTTTGCTATTTCTACACACTTTCAGATTTAGTGATCATATAGAGAAAAGGTTTATTAAAAAGATGAACGATTTTGGTTTTACTATCACAACAGTGTATCCAAGTATTATTCTCCTTTCACAAATACACTGAATAAAATTGTCCTCTGCAGGCTTTTCATGAATGAAGCTAAAAGCAATAAAAAGGATTATTCTTTTGTCTTTCTTATCAAAAGTGAGAAAGAAAAAGAAATAAAGAAGTTGTGATTCTTACTTCAATTTTTATTCCACCCCCACATCATTTTCTTATCAATTTGTATTGTTTCTATAATTATTGTATTGTGTAAACTGAGTTTGATGAACATTTCAGATTCTTCAGTGTTAAATAAAAGCCAAAGTACATAGGTAAACAGAAACAATACAAATCACAAACAAAATCATATATGAATACAAGTGACAATGACAATGATGCTTGTAATGTTAGAACAACAGAAAATAGAAGAGAAGTAAAGATAAGATGAATGTATAGACAAAATGCAAAATAAAAAAAAGATGAAGATGAAAATAAAAAAAATACAAAGCTGAAAAAAATGAAAGACACTCACCTTTTTGTGTTGGATGAATTCGATCAGTATAAATGTAAGAAAGAACCATTTCAAAAGCTTTAGGAACAGCATCAGGAATAATAACTTTGAGTCGACTGGATGAATCTTTTTGATGTGAAGAAGATGATTGCTGCTGATTTAAAAAAAGAAAACATTAATAAAAAACAATGATAACTTAAACAGAGATTATAGTATAAAACTCATATTTAAGAGAAAATATTGTTCATATGTTAAGAGAATCTCTTCTTCAAAGTCTTTTTTCTTTCAAATGTGACGGTTACACACCTGGCCCAGGGTCGAATCCCTTGGTTACGGCGCCAACTGTGACGTCGCTCCTCCTGGTCGCTCCTCCTGGTCGCTCCTCCTGGTCGCTCCTCCTGGTTCCAAGCGTGCCGCTCCAACCCCTTGGTTAGATGATCACCAGCCTCGCCTTTCCCAACTCGCTTCCAATACCTGGTTACTGAAGCAACTGTACTGATCTCCGGTCTGTCTACCCACGTTGTGTTTAGATCTTAGACAGACGGGACCAGCAGGATTGGGGCCGATACAAGTTGAGTCCGACGGGGTGGCAAAACACAAGTAAAAGAAAAAAAAAAACTCACGAGACAAAAAATTACTGATAAAAAAAAAAGGGTGACAACCTTTTTATATCTAATGTCCGTTACATAAAAAAAAATTGTTCTTATTTCCCGACCCACTCTGTGGACTATGGCACAAGCTTCTATCACACAACCTAAAGATTTCGAATTACCTACTCTTTAGAATTGTGTATGTCGGAGTGTGGTTTAGTTCGACACTGGGGCTAATTTCTATCGATCATTCGCAGTTGATTCCTCTCTTCGACTTGAGTTGTATTTCTTCTTCTTCGTCGACTTAGATAGAACTTCTCTTGTCTTCGACTTGGGCTGGATCTTCTCTGCTTGACTTCGAGGTAATCTTCTTCTTCGTCTACTTGGGCTGGAAGTTCTCTTGTCTTCGACTTGGGTGGAAAAAGATTTCTTGTTTCGACTTGGGTGGAAGGATTTCTTGCCGCTCAGCCGCTACTCTCTGTCGCCGGGGTGATCTCTTCTCGCTGCCGTCCGGGGCTGAACTCTGCCGTAACTCTGCCACAACTCTCGGCGTCCTTGAGCAATCTCCTTCTTCGTCTGCTTGGGCTGGAAGTTCTCTTGTCTTCGACTTGGGTGGAAGGATTTCTTGTCTGAGGATTCTCTTGCCCGCAAAGGGGCGAGTGAATCAGGCCTGATGCCAGCGTTCAGGCTCTATCCCTGCCAGGTCCAGCTGCAACTCAGCCGCTACTCTCAACTCAACTGATTTCTGTCGACTGGGGTCCTGCTTTTATTGACGCCGTAACAAACTGGGGTGGGTCTGTCGGCGTCAGGGTTTTTCTCGATAATTCAAAAGTCGCGTTATTTCTGTCTTCTCATTATCGCTATTGTTTCACCCCTACTTCCTCACAGTGCCCTTGGTGGGGAGGCGCACACCCATCTTCCCGGTCCCTCGTATGTCAGGTGACCGCTCTCGACCAATGATTCCTGATCGAGCACTTCTTTCTCTTCTTTTCCGCAGATCACGTGACCGTTTCCGACCAATGGTTCTTGATCGAGCATCCTTTCTCTTCTTTCCGCATATCACGTGACCGCTTTCGGCTAATTAGATTGTGGTTGGGCGTGGTTTACATCGTTCTTGTTTTAAAAAAAACAAAATCCAATCCTGCCCCCCTCGCACACACGAAAAATGACAATCTTGGCTTTTTCTCACCTGGGCTCTGTCAAAACAGCCTGCCGCTAATTAGATGTGACTTCAGGGAAGAATATTGGCGCTATCTGTGAACTGAGACAATCGTTTTTTCACCTCTTGTTTTTTTGTCAGACCCGACAGTCAGAAAATCTTAATTATCTACATTGAAAATGTCCCCACTTTGTTATCATGGGTTTCCAATTCTTAATAGGTCAGAATCTGTATATAGTTCCACCGTCACTCCCCTCAACCCAAAAGACACTTTTTCTCCGATTAAAAAAAAAAAAAAATTTCGTTTCTATTGTTCTAAAATTTCCCTTTCTCCAGATTAAGATTTCGCCCCATTGTTCTAAAATTTCCCTTTACTCCAAATTGATAATGAGTCTTTCACGCAAAAGTCGGTCATGCGCTTGATATCGACATTCTTATCAAAATGACTTTCCCTTCTAAATAATATTTCTTTTCATTGTCTCTCGAAAATCGGCCAAGATGTTGACCTAAATACCTTTCTGATACGTGTTTTTTGTTAATGACCGCTTTTTGCATTTTCTTGACCTCTCTTTCCCTTCTTTCTATCTTCCCTTCTTTCCTTTTTTTCTCTTCTTTCCTCTTCTCCCCTTAGGATCGTCTAAGTACGATCTTAGTGAATTATTTTCAACTCAATTATTTTCCGTTTAAAAAAAAAAATCAACAACCTGTTTAGTAAACCGAGTAAAAAAAAAATTAAATCATATTTCTATGAATATTTCTAATAATGCAAGGTGCCACACAAATATAATGTTGCATCTTGCACATTATTTTTTAATTATCAAAATAAAATACAAAGTTAATATAATATTTTAGTATTCTATCTCAAGATTTGTTCAGACATTTGAACTTATATCAGCATTTATTTATCCTTCCAGAGGCACAGGGCCTTTTTAAAGATGGAAATCTACACAGATTTGCATGTGGGTGAGAGACAAAAATCCACTCATCCTATTTTACCGGTGTAATGTGGACATGCTGCCTGGGAGATAAGATTCTTAGGAATCAGGCATCCTGTGAGAAAAGAGAGGGATCTCTTTTTCTCTTTTTTTTTTTTAAATAGAAAACGATGATAAAAAGAAATAATAGTTAATATATCCATTGACTTGGTTCATTCCAAGCAATGGCAGCCATACAGAGAATACTATTCAATCATCCAAATTATTCTAGATCACTGTCCTTATTGATTCTACACCTGAAGAAGGGTGTAGAAGGAATCAACTGAAACATGTTACCATCATCAACAACATAAAACATAAATTCAAATGTCTGAAATAACTCTCCAAAGGAAGACTAGTTTTCTTATACGAGTTTAAACTAGGCAACAGTTGAAGGATTCTTTACAACTTACACCTCTTACTCGCTTATCAGCAGACTAAGGGAAACAACTCTGTAAGTATCCGTTTAAAAATCTGGACTCATCTCCCTTGAACAAAGTATTGAAAAATAATAGACTAAGACATTGGTTCATGAATTTGGTGACATAGTGAGTAATTGTGAGTTCAATCCCTGGGCTGAGTAGTTCTAAGACTTAGAACAGAATGAGATATCCCTAGACATAGACAGTGGAACAAGAACAACCCGATCCGGTAAATTAAATAAAGGGTTCAGTCCAAAATTTCCAAGTTACCTGGATCAACAAGCACTTGAAGAAGGCAAAAGGCCACAATGGCTGAAAAGTGATAGCAACAGGATCAGGACATTAGTCCAAATGGAAATAATGATAACTCTTCCCCCAGAAATTCAGGCAGAAATTTTTACTTAATTATAAATTACTTGGAAGTATTGGCTTGATTGAACTGAGCACTGATTTATTCTCAAAGTTAAACCAATAAAATTAAAATGCACTAAAAGAAATAGCACTATGATGAGCTATTTTGGGTGTGTTATAACAAATGCACAAATATAGTAAATTGCATCATTTTATATATATATATATATATATATATATATATATATATAATGATAGGGTATTCACATTTTTCCAAGCACACCCATCTGCTAGGGCGGCTAGCCAATCCCTGTTGCAGACACCTGCTCAGATACATTTGTGTTTCTTCAACACCGACACAGCACACTTTGCTGAGCACACTTTAGTTAAAGATCTGAAAGAGAGTACATAATCTGTCATGATTAGCAGTTTTAACTAAGCCAGTACACTAAAACCCTCGCTTACAATGACTTGCAACTTTGTTTTAGTACAACTATTGATGGATATTCTTTCTACCCAATTTCATTCACATTCTTGGGTCAACACGTGGTATGGTTTTTCTGACACTTTATAAAGCTGCTGCACACTGTGATTGTGCCCACAGTATATAAATATACTTATATACGCACACATACCTGTATGTCTTCATTTTGGCAATTGGCTGCATCATTTGCTGCGACTTCTTGAGCCTAGAAAGAAAGTAAAATCAAATTTCTCTTATAAAGCTGTTAAAACAAAGAATTTGCATACAATATGAGAAATGAATACAATAATAACAACTGATTGTCATCATATGAATTTGAAAAGATTTTAAACTGGTACTAAAAATATTAGGTTTGTTTATTTTAATCAGATCAGAAAAGATTCTAAGAAATCAAACTGAAGATTATGAAACAAACATCAGTTCTTTACCACTTGGAGAATGTAGGTAAATGTGTCTGATATATAAATGTTATATGCTAAAATCTCTGAAGTTACCCAAACATAATAATATATATGAGACAAAAAGCATTGTTTTGATTAAGAAACCTAAGACTTTTTACATGAAGTCTCCATCAAGATCTCCTCAAACAACAACTTTCTACAGAATTTCTAGGACTTTTCAAGATTATCAATTGAATGAGACATATTGTTAGTATTTAGTTTGGATAACTGATTCAATCAAAAAAATGGAAGCCATTTTCAAACATATAAAAAAAAAAAAGATTTAAATGGTTTGCTTTTATTGCCCAAGCAATAAAAGTGGAAATAAAGGAAATTTCTTTATAATTTGTGATATTTTATTTTCAAAATAAAACCATGTTATCTGTAGTTTAAATAATGTTTATTTTTTTATGGAAGCTGGTAGTTTTTTTTCTTACAACATCACATTGGAGGAGGGAATCTTTATTTTTACTCTGTTGTGAACACCACAAAAGATGGTTTAAGTTGTTCACCTTTTGTTGACTTCATTGATTTTCTTTTTAATGCACATGAAATATCACTTTGGTTGACAAATTTGTCAGTCATCAGTCTAGACTTCTTGAAGTTGTAATTTACAAGTAAATCTATGCCTGGTGGCCAGCTGGAATAAGAATTAACTTGATAAATAAATAGCATAGATATCTAAGTTAGACAATTTGAATTTTAGTAGCATAACAGAAGTACCTAGATGCATTTTGTTTTTCTTTTTTTAGTGGGATTTGAACATAAATTGATTTCACAAGATGCTGATAAGAAAGAAGCTAGATGTTTAGTTGTAACTGAGACAAGAGACAATCAGAAAAAGAAAAAAAAAAGAATTATCTTGAGGACCAAGTTAACATCTTCAAGTGAACCAACCTTTTGGAGAAGCAAAAGGACTATGATATGAATAACAACTATGATTTCTTTAGTAACAAAATGATGGAACAATATCATTAAATCTTCCCATCCATAGGACAGGCAGATAATAGAATAAGGTTTGAAAATGTATGGGCAGATAGAAAATTGAATGTTGGGAAAATTATAATTTTACCCAGTAATGCTAATTGATCAAGGGAATCTAGTTGGATATGTGAACAATATGAACCCCCACTGAGAGGGGTTGTAAGAAGGTTTCCTATCAACGGACATGTCGTAACCAGCAAGTTGCAACTGGACCACTTGTTGCAAGATCGATAATAATGTCAACCTCACAAACCAAAAGGAAAAAGAAGTGACAACAGCTGAAACAAGTAGAATAAAGACAGAGTTGTAAGTTTAACAAAGGCCAAACTTAATTATTTGGTGAAAACTAACAAATATCTTTTCATGTGTTTAGGTATGATGGGTCTTGGTCCTCAGAGGTGTCTTGGTTTGGTTATTCTCATTGTATTGAGAATTAAATGTATGTTCATAATCGTCACTGGTGGTATATAAAAATTATGGCTCTTGATTTAGAGATAAAAAGCAGGTGTAGAAATGGAGAAATTGCTAAATGTTGAGATATCGTCCTGAAAAGGAAGGAAGTAGGATCATACTGTTGGAAAAAACGGAATCTCTGACTCTTCCTGCGCAGTTTCCTGGTTAGTAGGATCAACTACTTAGTAGTAGGATCTTACACATAACCCAGGCAGGTATTTACCTTCGACTCCCCACTGAATCAGTTTGTCTTAATGTGGGGAACTTGAGTGTCTCCACTCAAGCCATTGGTCAATTTCTTGTCTTAGTTAGTCATAACCAATCAAAACCATACTAGTGGCCAGTCATCAGTATGGCAGTCAGGTGTAAGTGTAATGCTAGGAGTTGATCTAATTCTTGTGTGGGTTTGGTGGGAGGTCATTGAATATGGTTGATGTTGATTAAGGTCACGGTGGTAGGCTGTTTCGTTGGTTTGGAACAGAGGTGACATTGGATTGGCATGGTTGGTAGGGCTTGTCTATGTAATGGTCTCACTCATGTTGGTAGAGTGGCATCACAGTGGTGAGTTGCTTGGTTGTGGGGTCAGAGTTGCTGCTTGCAGGGTCAGAGTCGCTTGCTTGCAGAATTGGATTTGTTGACGTGATAAGAAAGGTTTGCAGCTTGGTGGTGTCGATGTTGAGATGTTATTATGTCAATATATGTCAAGGTGACAGGATTGTCAATAATGAAGATTTGTAGCTGGGTGGTGTCGAACCTGGATAGATGGACACTCATGGCTGGTGTTTGCTGAGGTGACAAGGTCGAGATGCTATCAACATGAAACTGGATAGTCAAGGTGGTTAGTCAAACCTGAGAGTGGTAATGGTCATTGAGAGGTGTGGTCATGTTGAGAGGCAGTGGTGATGATCATGGCGGCAGTGGCAGCAGCAGCAAGCAGCAATGCCCTGTGTGACAGCAGTCAGCATTAAATATAACCTTTAATACTATTGGATATTAAAAGGTTCAAATTTTTCCAGATGGCTCCAAAAGCAACTTGATATTCTGACAGAACTAAGCAAACTAATAGTTTCATAAAGAATAGCACAAGCAACTTACCAGCTGAGCTTTTGCTCTCCGAATTTTGGCACGAAGTAATGGTGAACGAGCAGCAACCAATGCAATATGAGCTGGAATTTCGACTTTCTCCTGAAAAAATAGAAATGCAGAAATATCATCTATACATAGAAAATTTTATACATATATATATATATATATATATATATATATATAATTACATTGGAAGTACTATGAATACATTCAAAGAATGTTGGTATGGACATGTGCAATCATTCAACAATAGTAATCATAAATACAAGACTTCATTGTCCAAGTATTTTTAGTGCTTAAAGAAAAACAAGACACCTACTGTTAAATGGAAATTAAATAAGAGAGCTTGAACATGTAATTCTCTATATGACCCTTGTTATTTATTTCTTAATGAAAAATTTGAAATCATTAGATTTAAAGAAGATGCATCTCTTAAATCAAAGGAATGAACTCACTGTTAAACATAGCTCAAAATTTAACTTACTATAGGGGTAGTAATATTTTTAGCAATAATGCAATGTTACTGTAAGTCTAGTATGTTATTACTTATATTATCTGCTAATCCTCCTATGTACATATATGTATGTATACACTTATTATGTTGTTTGTGTGTGCACATGTGTGTGTATTTTCATGGATAGATGTATATATGTGTATGTGTATATATATATATATATATATATATATATATATTTACATGTACATGTATATATGTATATATATATATATGTGTGTATGTATATATGGATGTGTGTATTTGTGTGTATGTATATATATGAATATATTTTTATTTGTAGTTAAATGTTTGTGTATATATATAGTTGTTATGTATGTGCTTGTTTATATATTTATGTGCTTGTATATGTATGAGTGTGTATGCGTATGTACGTATGTGTGTGCACATGTTTATATATCTGTATATGTGTATATCTTAGTGTTTATTGAATGAATTATCTATGCTAACTATAATCTACTTTTGTGTAAGAGTTTGTGGATTGCAAAGGAAAATATTTGCCACAGATTACTTCCACAACAAAGAGAACAAATCACTGTAAGTTCAGACTCGAAGATCAGGGGCAGAAAGAAATGTTGAAATCCTGATTTGCAGGTACTATGTCCCAAATCACAATGCATGTAACCAACTAGAAAAATAACTCACTCATCAATGACCACATTTGCTAAATACACAAATTTTGTCTTTTTTCTTCTCTCCAATTCAAGAACACCAACTGTTTTTATAGATTGAGCATTTTTTCCTCATTCGTCGACAACTGGGAGAGGACGCATATTATTAGTATATCAAAATACTTTTATGGTGACTTCTGTGACTGACTTGTCTTTAATTTGAATATAATGTCTTCGGCATATCATCCAGAATATGTGCCCTTTTTTTCGCAATTAACTTTCTTTTTCGCCACAGTTTCCATTGTAGGATACACGTCACACACTGTTGCTTGGTTTGATGAAATAATTTGCTATTTTCTTTGCTATACTCCCCCTGATATCATTATCACAAATCAAACAGTTTGGAGTGGCTCTCTTTATCCTTGTGCTCCATCGTAATGGAACTATCTCCCTTACATGTGTTGAAGAGTTGTCTCCTGAGGGGTCATCAGGCGTATCTCGAGTTTCTGGAATCTCTGCATCTGTGGAAGCATCAGATTCACAGATCTGAATTATACAATCACTTGCCACCTTAATTCATATTCTGGCTTTGCCAGTGAGCATGTTTGATACCCACTGGTGCACACATGCAGAGTCTGTGAAGAGGTGTAGCTCCACTGCACCCCACTGTAGTACTAAATTGACACCCTTCAGAATAGCATCCAATTCTGTTAAATTGATATGTTGGGCATCCTTCACAGGCCACAGCCAATATGCGTCCTCTACAACGTTTCTGTCAACCTCCAACAAAACCCCTGTGGCGAGAGAACTTGCATCAACCCACACCTCATAACTGTGTCCACTTGTGCACCACTTACCATGTGCAGACTCATTCTGGCATATTCTTTCTACTATGTCCACAATCATGTTCTTAAGGGGAGCATCTGTCACTTCGTCATCTCAGTCAGACATGATTGATACTGTTCTGTATTTAACAAATGATGCAGCAACACAAAGCCAACCACACACAGGAATGTGACCCACCAGTTTTCCACACTACGAGAAGATGTTACATCGCGTCAGGACCTCAGGAACTGATGTAATGTCATTTTCATGTTCCGACTTAAGCATGTTGTTATCCTACTTGACATGCAAACCCAGTACACATGTGCCATCCTGCAACCACGCAGGATCCTTGCAGGTCAAACCAAATGCAGACAAGTGCTTTTTCATATGAGCTGCTGAAATTATGCTTTTGTCAACATAAATATCATAAATATATAATTAGGTTTCCCATCGAATCCACTCATCTTTCGATAACGTGGCGTCCAAAATGGACTTCATTATGGCTGGCATAACATTCAACCTGAAAGTCATTCATGTCAAGCAATATCTTTGCCCCTTGAAGATTACAGTTTGAAAGGGCCAAAGTGACTTATATGGATATGCACTTGTAGACGAGGCTATTCGCTGTTTTCTTCACTATAGTGATTTTAAAATTGCTTGTGGACTTAATAATCAACAGTTGTATTTTGTTACATTTTAATCTTGTATGGACTCTGAATCCTTTATAGTCATTTGGATAATATTGTTAGTATATATATATATATATATATATATATGTTGCTGTGTAGGTTGATATAATTATATTTATTTCTGTGTGTGTATATATGCATATGCATATATGTATGTCTATGTATGCATGTGTGTGTGTGTGTGTGTGTGTGTGTGTATATATATTTATGTATGTATCTATTTGTAGTGATGTATGTGTGTACACATACGTATGTATATATTTTTATATATATTGTTATATATTAGTACTTGTGTAAGTGTACTCAAGCGTATATAAGTATATATGAGATATTTATATATATTTGTGTGTTTATGTTTTCTTTTTTATATATTAGTTGGTTTTATTTTATTTTAAGTTGCATTTTGTCTGGACATTTGTGTTTATTTATGTGTATATTTTATATATTTATTTTTTTCTGCCCATTTTTATATATTTCATTGCATTTTTTTTTTGCTTTGTTCATTACTGAATATTTGTTTTCCTATTCTACTCCTCTTAAATTTTATCTATTGAACCCTCTTTTTATCGATATATCTTTGCCCATTTAAGCAATATTTTAATAGTCTGCTAGAATTCATTTACTAACACTTTCAAACTCGAATCTTTGTAGGTGTGTAGATGTGTGTGTCTTTATTAATGTATGTGTGTATGATCACTTATATATGCCTTTCATTGTATGTATATGTTGTCTGTTTTATTTTTTGGGTCGTGGACATCGATTTCCTTTTTCGTTCGTGTTTTTTGCATGTTTATATATCTAAATATATCTACATGTTTGTGTATTATAATTTGATTGTGTATGTATTGTCTTTTGCAAGATTTCATCCTCCCTTGCCCATATCATCACTTCAAATGTATCTAAGTTATAACAAAGTTTTACATCCCCATTAAATTAACATTTATTCTGAGATTTTGGCTTTTCAATTATAACAAAATAAATAATAAAATATATGTTTTTTTCCTCAGTTTCTTCTTTAAATAATTCTATAATATTTTAAACTTAATACAGATTAAATTTAAAATTGGTAATTTTTAAATTTCAGTTTTATAGTAAAATTTAATATTAATTAATTAGAATGATTTCTATTTTAGTCTAACCCTAACATTAAGGCTTTAATAATTATAACTAAGGTTCATTGTCAAGTTTTTTGAATTCTCATATACTTGTCTTTTGATTGGTCATTGTAGCTTATGTAACAGCATTTCCCTTATTGAGGGGTGTTTGGTTGAACCTTTTAAAACTCTTTATTCTACATTCAACAGCATCACTTGATAAGACACCAGAAGTGTTGAAACAAAATGGGTATTTTTGTAGTGATTTTATAACATTTTATGTTATAATTTTCAAATAAATTATATTTGCTCTACTATGTATTGAGCACTCTTTTAAGAATAGTATTTTTTGGTTATTGGAATTTATTCCATATACACCAATCCTATACTTGTATATATATATATATATATATATATATATATATATATATAGAGAGAGAGAGAGAGAGAGAGTGAGAGAGAGATATTAGAGAGAGAAACTGGAGAAGGGATAGAGATAAAAAAGAAAGATGCAGATTTGCTGACTGAATATCAACAGATAAAGAGTTAAAGACTGAAAGGTCATTCTGAATGGAAAAAAATCAGGATTTCCAGCTTAATCATTGAATAAAATTCCCTAGTAATTACTTGATTTCCTGAAAAATTCCTCTGAAATACCCTAATTTTGAAACTTTCTCAGTGGCACAGTTTTTGCCTCCTGTTCTTCAGCTGATGCTTTTTTTCTTTTAAACATTCTTGATAATGAGAATGAGATTGGTCATTTTCCCATTAAAATCAATTAAATTTTCTTTTGGCAAAAGCAGCATCATTTTTCACTATCATGACTCATGAAGCAAATTTAGTGTTAAGACTTTGTTTTATCCATTCAGAATTGAAAGAAGACATTTTTATTCAAATTTTTCAAATCCTAGAAAACAAATATGTACCACATAAATAACATTTTCAATCTAAAAAACACATAAAATAGACATGTCATTTGATGCACACCAAGTTTCATGAGAAAATTTCCCAAATTCCCTAACATTAAACCAAAATTCATGAATAATTCTGATTTTTCTTAAAATGTTATTATTTTTCAATTCTTTGATAATTTTCTGATCTCCTGTTTTTTAAGTTGACAGTGAACTCTAAAAAATGTAAAAATAACAATATCTAAAAACTGTTTATGGAGACCTAAAACAAAGAATAAAAAAGGATGCAGTACAAAATGCTTGTATATTTCTAAATTATTTTGTGCATATGAAATTAATATATGTTTTTATAAGATTTAGATAAAAACATAGACAAATATTAAAGAAGGAAGTGAAATGATAGAAAATGAAAAGACATTGGTAAAGGGCAAGAGAAGAGTACAGACATGAATTAATGTATAATTTTGGAATTATTATCTGCCACAAGTCTAGCAAGTTGTAGTTATTGAGAATGAGAGATCAATCCCATGAATAAAAAATTTGCTTTCATCTCTTTGAAAAAGAACCTATTTCAATGATGTTTTGAATATTATAGAAAAAAAAAAACTACACTGATCAGAAGCAAAACTGATATTGAAAATTAAACTTTTTTTGAAAAAAAAATTTCAACTTCCAACAACTTTAAAAATATACACTAAGCAAAGAGCTCATTTCTTAGAAGACATTTACAAACAAAATTTTAATATAAATGATGGATGTATGGTTATTGGTACAGGATGTAGAGTTCAAGTTCAGGCCTTGTCTGTTAAATTTACTTTCACACTAATAACCTTGGGAAAAGCATGAATCTATTTATTCTCCCCTTAGCTATAGGATAAGAAGTCAAGCAGGTGAGGCTGTTAAAACTTGGATTATACTGCCTCACAAAATTCATAGATATGTGGCAACCCAACATATCCTATAACGGTTCATAGACCATAAGCATGAATGGTTGGATACTACCGCTGTATTCTTGTATACTGTTATGGCCTTGTTGGGGCCAGAATAAAGACACAAGGGTGGATTTGAGTTAACAAATATATTAATGAAAATTGGTAATACAATAATATACAAACGAGCAAGAATGTTAAGTCCAAACTATCAGAGCTGACGGTAGGGGAAAAAAACTCCCTCTGACAAAAACAGTACCTGTTTTTATTTGTAAGTTGGAAGAGTCCATCCATGTATGGGTAATTTACCATAACATATACCCATATAGGTTTCCTAAGGTACAATACTGATTCTGACAGTGCCACCCAATGGTAGGACTTTCTGTTGAAAATATTGTGTATCTCACAGCAGAATTGAATTCTACTGTAGGAGAGTGGTAACTCTTTTCTCCAGAATCCAGAGTTTGGCTGGAAATTACATCTCACATCTGTGAGAGAAAACTCCAAGGAAATCACTGACACTGTTGTGAAACTCAATTACAGGTTTATTACAATGATATATGCATATGGATGAGTATGTAAGTGTCATTGCTAAAAGTTCTTTGTGTGTTTGTCAGAAGCTTAGCAACAATGGTGAGAAATTGACTGCAGTCAATGAAAGGCCGGAACAAAACTTTCTCAAAGCATTTTGGCTGTCTATTTTAATTAAGAAACCACCCATTTCCATCATTAATAGGTCACTGACCCCTAGTTGGAAACAATCATCCACCTAATGACTCAGCCCAGACCAAACTAAAATGTAAGTTATCTCTTAGCAATAAAATAACATTATTTTTGCAGAAAGGGATTAACTCAGATAAGATTTTTCAAAACAATCCCAACTGGGGTAAATTTTGAAAATGCACAGACCTTTCATCAATTCATCTCTTTGCAGGTGTTTAAGCCTGGGAACCTGTAAGTTTCACTGCTTTTTGGTTAAATTGTCCCAAGTTCCAATCTTCTCATAGCACTCTCATTCATTTTATTTTATAGGTTTAAATCTATATTTTTACCTTGTTTTTGTTCTCAGTATATCAAAGGCTACTCACTCATCTTCCAAGTTTTTCTGTCTTCCATTCTCAACTAGATCCTACCTCAAATCACTAATCAGCTATCACATGCACTAATAAATATTGATCCAGTAAATTCACCCTGTTATAGAAGAAGGACAATGAAAAACCACTCCACTAACTTTCCCAAGAAGCCACGGCAAGTCACAGATATTAAAGAAGTCAGTAGAGAGCCATGATCACATACATCCTTAAGAATTTTTAAGAAAAGAGAAGAAAATAATGATGTATACTCATGGATTATATACAAATTTGCAACTACAAATTAAGTTCATTTCAATTTTCTATATTTTTTTAGTATCAAAAGCATAAAAATTTAATATAAAATTTTTTTAAATAATTTATAAGATCACATAAGTTATATTGAAAATGTTGAATGCTGAATATTTAAACTCTGACCAAACATCAAGAAAGTTATTTGATATATTATTTTTCTAAAAAATAATGATTATGCCACAAAAAAGTAATACCTACTTGCAATATGGTTTTATTCAAACAATAAGATTACTTTGTGAGGACAAATTTTGTACATGTCGATATAAAAGTTAGGCAAACAAATATTATTTGTATCATCATCATCTTTCAAGTTGTATATTTAGGTAATTCTCATAAGAATTTTCTTTGTTCAATAATAATAATTCAAGATAACATAATTTTTTACAAATGTTCTTACCTCTCCCACAATAAAAGTAATATCACAGAATTGTCTGCTCTCCAAAAGGCGACCATAATCTTCATGTAGAGTGCATTTAGGGTAACTGGAGAACTGAAAAGCAAAAGAACTAGCTTTGTCACTTTATTTTTTAAAAAGTCAAGTTTTAAACACATGCATTTCAGTTTTAAACTCTAGAAAGAGAAAACAAAATCAACTGATTAAAAATTTTAAATAAGTGTACACCCATTATTAATTTATCCTTTTGAGTAAACAGTCAAAACTTTTAAAAAAAGTAAATTTTTTTAAAAGGGCAAAAATATAAAGCAAAATGGAAAATGTTTAATTTCTAAAATTGCTTTTATGAAAGAAAATAGATGATTTGGTTTTTCAACAGCTTTGATTCCAATGAATTATAAACAAAATATTGTATACAATATTTAAATTTAATGTATCGATTTCATTTTTTCATCAAGATTTATTTTAATGAAGTTGTAGTAATTCTAGATTGTGTAATTATCTCCCTTGATATATCAACCTCCCATTTCTCAATCTTTCTATATGCTATCCTTTCAAGAGATGGGTGTTCATGGTTCTCCACAGCTTGTGGTCACCATAAAAAAAAAAAAAATTGAATTAATTTATTTACTTTATAAAGAATTGAAAACATGACACTTTAACAGCCTCATTAATAAGCAATCTTATAAAAATACATAATGTCAGATTTTATTATGCAACTCAATGTTTTTACAATAAAATTACTAACTGATGTTGGCAAAATTATCAGAATTTACTTAGATCCATATGAATATACCTTGTGAATTATATTATCCGTTTTTATTAGAAATAATTTACAATAACTTATTTGATGGTGTGAGATTTTATTATGAGACTATAAAAACTTATACTCTATCATTAAAACAGTTATATACAAGAATGGAAAACAATATTTAAGCAAATAAAATTTCAGGAGAACAATACAAATTCTTGCTAGTTACATTTGAACTGAAACAGTACAAATGTCAACCAAATCAATAAACTGATGAACATTACAGAATTTCAAGAAGCCTAAATTAACATGTAAAAAAAAAATGATAAAATAATAATTGATTTAGATACATGGGACATTCTGTTAATGAAATGTTTGCATTTATTTATAAATGAAAATTCATATTACATTTAGTTTGACTGCATAATAAAACTTGACAGTCAGAAAACTAATCTTTATCAATATTTTTAATAAGGATAAATATTAAAAACTAACACAATATATGATGTGTTCAGTGGAGAAGGGGCAAATTCAACATCTGATAATTTTGCAGCAACACATGCTTAAAGGTTTCATGCAGTTTTGATCAACATTTCTTTTCATAGTTAGCTGTAAGGAATTGTAAATGTAGGACTACCTTACACTTAAGTAAAATAATAACAATAATAATATTTATTAAGAATTTATTACAGGAAATATCAACTTTTATGGAAACATTATTGATAATTATGCATTTAGTTACATAACAAATAAATAAATATAATATAAATATTCGATTTGTTGTTAGGCATTTTTCATTTTCTCCTTTGTTATTGGCAGCATTTTAGAATACTTTGGCTGCAATGCTAAGTTGAATGAACTGAAGCTATTTCATTTACGTTTGTTATCACTTTTTTCATTGTTGTTCTTAGATTGCTTTCTTCCAGTCATTTTGATGAGCAATAGCGAAATTATGAAATTTAGAATGATCTTATTCCATTTCAAAAATAAAGTCTGTAAAAAGAGATATTTTAAATTAATATATGACCAAAAATAAAATGCTTTTGATAAAAAACCTTGATGATTTCACTATAATTATGTAACAAAAATGCAATGATATTCCGCGGACAAATCTACAGTTTATGTTACCTCATCTCATTGCATGGTTACGAACTATAAACCTAAATTAAGCTTGAAATATTATGTAATCAGCTCTAATTTTTTGTAAAATACTTGGATATGATGTAATGAATAATTTGATTCAAAAAAAAAAGCAATTTTTGAATTTTTTGTTAATTTATCCTCCTCTTTAAATGTTTTTATTTTGTTGTATCATTCTTTGGATATAAATGTCAGTTGAATTAATACCTATTTTATAATGAAAAAATTGATTTGCAGAACAAAATCTGACAATGTAAAACCTTAAATCTGCTTTTATTTAAAATGATTTTCTAAATAAAAAAAATGATTTCCTTATATAAAACATGAAATGAATTTTTTAACAGATAAACATTTGTACAATTTTATTTTGCAGATGCTACTCTAATAAAAAAAACAAAAGATGAAAACTTTAGAATCTTTTAATCACTAATTCATCCACAAATAAAAAAAAAAAAAGTTTTACAATGTTTTTGGTCATTCCAGTTCCTCTTCTGTTATCACAATGTAGGATATTTAATAAATAAAAACAAATGAAATAAAAAAAAACAAAATCTAAATGAAATCAGGTTTCTACCCAAATTATTTAAAATTCTCTACCAACCACTGCCAGTCATCTCACATTTTTAGTCCAAATAAACATAAATTGTCCGAAATCAGTCTTTTCTCAAAATTAAAATATGTCACAAAAAAATTTTCCCATTTTGTCATCCTTCTTTCTCCTTAAATAAAACATTAAATAGATGATAACAGATTAAGTTTAAAATACCAATGAGAGGGATAAATATGTATAGTTAATATTTAGAAAATCACACATACATGGACCTACAGACGTACATACACTACATTATTACATAGGCAAAATCCACCAAATATATACATAGCATCGGCAACAACAGCAGCAGCATACGACCGTCAAATTGATTGAAAAAAAAATAAGGAAAATTCCATTTAAAAATAGCACTGTGTTTTAGGTAAGACAAAATACCGTTTACATACATACAAATTTCTTCTTTAAATAGATGTTGCTTTTTTTCTCTGCTGTTTCTCTCTATTTTGTTTCCTCCTCCTTATATCTATCTATCTATCTCTCTGTATAAGATCTAAACTCTCTCCCTCTTCCCCTTTCATTCATGCGTAACCCTTCCCCACAAATATAAAGTTGATAAAAAGCCTCAAGGAATGAAACATCGGTTCTCGGTTTTTTTGTTATCCCTTTAATGACACACTGGTAGTGGTAAATTTTCTTTATATTTGGGGGTTTACACTCCTTATTCGCGCTTCATGGAGATATGTACTCCGTTAAAAACATCCTCTTAAGGGTGACAAGGAAGCATTTCTATGTCTCTTGATTCCCCCCTACTCTTCAACATTTGCAGAACGAGTAGATGGAACTACAATAACAAAAACAAACAAAAAATACGACTGTTGTGTTTTTAAGTATTGTTTTAATCTTTAATTTGTTCTTTTTTGATTTCGGAAAGTTAACAGACTGCGACATAAATTAATTTAAAAAAAACATGAGATGTACATCGGAAGAATACAAACGGGGAGTTCAGATTGAAGTCATCTCATGGAAACTAAATTTGATTAACGGCTTAGAGGGAGGCAGAAAAAAAAAAAAGAAAGAAACAGACAAAAAGACCGAGAAAGAAAAAAACCATTAAAAAAAAAAAAAAAAAAAGTAAAAAAAACTATTGCAGTAATTCAATCTTCCAGTTTCATCTGGACGTCAGTCTGGTCTGTTTTTGTCGTCTGTTTTAATTTGCTCAGAATTCCATCGACAAACGGACAATTTATCATGCAGACTCGCTTAAAGCAGTCTAAGCATAATGAAGGACCTTAAACACTGGTTGCACGGTTTTTGCCCTATTATATAGGTATCCGCACATGAAAGAGGACTTAGTAAGAAAAAAAGGGTAAATGTGATCGGGCAAGGTAGATGGGGTAGTATTGAATCGATCAAAATAATTCAAATACATACCTGACTCTTTGTCGGTGTGCAAAGGCATATAAATATAAAAGATATGTTAATATTTACTGGATCCTCTCCCACCTATCAAGTACAACAATTCAGCTCATCTCACTGGAGACAAAGCGATCGGTAGAAAATTGCCACCCGGACACGTTCTCTTTCTATGTTCGTTGTTCATCCATCTGTCTGCATGTTGAAGATCTGACATTTTTCCCTTTATTCGGTTGTCAGGACAATGGATGTTCGATTCATCATTTTGAAATATTTTACCCGTGCCAGATATGCTCAACTCAAAGTTTCCTTTCAGAATGATTTGTGTATTTATCCGCAGCAACTGCAGATGCAGGTAATTTTCTACAAGCTGATTTGACATTTTCACAGCTGTTTAAATGCGATCGTAATTGATTCAAAAATAGGTATTTGATCAAAGTCTCTTCATTATCATCTATCTATCTATCTATCTATCTATCTATCTATCTATCTATCTATCTCCTCAGTCAGCTATGTAACTCTGCAGACTGAATTTTTATAGACACACTTACACACGCATGCGCCAAAAAAGTGAGAGCACACACACGCACACACACACACACAGATTTTTTTTGTTCTATAAATATGTTCAGTTATATCAATAATTATTTGCTACAATCACTGTGTAAAAAAAAAATACTTTTACGGTTATAAAAAGTTATTTATTAATTTGAGACATTGTCTTCCACTTTCAACTTCTTTCCATACACTCCTTTCAGGATTTTGACCTCCGTGAACATTTTATTTGGTCTTTCTCAGTTTAAGTAAATTTTAAAAATAAAAACTCATTATAATTAGAAAAAGCAAAAAAATTTGAAAACTTATACGAAAATTAAATGAGGAAATATCGAATGATCATATGTATATTCATCAACACGCACACACGCACACACACATAAACACACACACACACATCTATACGTGTGTGTACGCACATATATGTGTAGCATAGTTGGTCAATTATTTTTCGATTTTTAAGAAAAATGTTTCATTCAACAATGTGACCGCGAGTTGATAAAACGAAAGAAATAACAAAAAGGTGCGGGAAGAAAAGGTTAAAAACTGAAGCAACAATGGGTGAATATCAGATAAATCGGCAACGACAGGATGAAACGTAAAAAAAAGAAAATTAGTCAAACATTCAAAAAAATCAGTGAAACAAATCAAAAAGAAAATAAGAAAGCGTTAGAATAGGCAACAATGATGCTTGAAGATAATCGTCATAGCCTTAAAGAAAATATCCTGTGACAACAAAATATGAGTGTCTGGAAGAAAGAAGAAAAAGAAAACGCGCTATCTTTTCCTTTAGCGATGAATTTTTCCTCGCTAAACTTTCTCCTGTATCTGTTGATTCTAATACCTTTATTGAACTTTGGCTGTTTAATAATAATAATAATAATAATAATAATAATAATAATAATAATAATAAGCAAGTTTAATGAAATTAAAACGCCTGAAAAAAAAACGCCTTAAAATAAATATTTTGGCATTTTTGAGTTAAAAAAGAAAAAGAAAAAGGAGGAAAAAAAGTTGTTCTCCTCAAAGTTTAAAAAAATACCAGAACATTTACACACACACATGGGCTCGAGAGCAAATGCACACATACCCACATAGAGGAGGATCTCTCTTTCTCTCTCCACTCCATCCCATTTACTACTGAATGAAAAAAAGAAAAACGCCTTTAGATTTGTTTTTCTAAGAGACAGGAATAGGGCAATGGGTGATTTGCATCTTCTTTTATTAAAATTAAGGAATAAAG